TTCACTCAGACAGTACCAGATTGTTTATTTGATACATCAGTGTTAAAATCATACAAACACACATGGATGAAAATTAGGAATTAAATTATGTCTTCTCTTTGAGTCCCGTTAGGGGAGCTGAAGGGAGCAAAGAGAGGACAAAGTAAAGTGAACTCAGTGTGAAGGAATGTAGCTAATGTTCCTTATCTGAGCTCATGCTGAGCCACAGCACCAGTGCTGAGCAGTTCTTCTATGGCGGCATCCTTGTACCCCAATATGCCCTTCAGTATCTCCACTGTATGCTGCCCAACAAGAGGAGGCGGCTTAGGTTCTGACATAGCAAATTCACTATATCTGACAGCTGGTCCTGTAAAAAAAACAGATAGGAAGGAAAATATTATCCAAATTAACTACCTGTATTAATATTGAACTGTTTATGTGGGTTTAAAGGAAAATATTTCATTTTCACAGCAGTAATTCAGCGCTTATCAGAGAAAAGTTATATTTTGGAAGTACAGACTAAACAAATTCCCGTTCACAATAAGCCAGTTATATATCAGTAAGACAGTTTTAGGTGGCTCAGCAAACGCAGACTTGCTGAACATTCACCAAACATTAAGGAAGTCTTCCCATTGTTGCTAGTGGTACCTCAGGGGGTGCTCTGAGGCATATCCCTCATAGGTCTACCATTCTGTGCCAGCTGCACGACGTAGGCAATGCCCATACCGCACAGTGGGATGTGCTGCAGAAATGCCCATACTCCTGAACAGCAGGCGGTGTACCCATGAGAACCGGATGAAATGGCACGCTAATACACTTTTATTGCTGTCAGAGCAGTGCCCTGGACGATGGGAAGAACCAAAAATACTAATACACTTTTATTGCTGTCAGCCCTGGACGATGGGAAGAACCAAAAATTTTTCTATCAAAAATACAGGTAGTAGCAGCAGTGAGTAACTCAGCACCGGCCTAGTCTGGCAGGAACCATTTCAAAGTTGGAACTCTCACTTAGGGAAGATCACAACAAGCTGAAGACTCTCACGCCTATTGCAGGTAGTCAGACCTTACTTTTTAGCAATCCTCCATAGTGAACCAAACAGAGATTTCAGCATAGTTCCTTGCAGATAAGTAGCCGCGTCATTACTGTCAGTCTCAGAGGAGAAAACAGACCACAAATTTACTCTATATAACTGTTTCATAGAGAAATAAAGGACAACAATTTCCAGAATTGTCAGGTGAAAACTTTTCTTTAATACAAAATTTAACACCCTTTGATGCTCTGGATGGTTGCCAAAAGGATTCCTTTATTCACAGTTATGGTCTTTATTATGCCATCAAAAGAATTTAAAGGCAAACTTGCCAATAACATTAAAGCAGTGTTTAGAAATGCAAAGAAACGCATAGAGTGTTCTGATCAGGCAGAATAACGTTTGACTTCGTTCTGAAGGAATCAGAGACATATCAACCAGCAAAAGGAAACAAACCATAACCAGAAGTGATTCGGTAAGAAAACGAGTAGAGAAAGTCACTATTTATTAGAATGACTGCTTGTTTGAGGAGGGTTTCTGACAGAAGTCATGCAACATGCCAAAATACACCATTTTTGCAACAGTCTTCACTAAATAGATCAACTGTGATTAAGTGGTTAACACAGTAGAGGTATCCACCTCAAAAAGAGACAGAGTAAGATAAAAGGTGCTTAGAAAAAGAGGTTTTTTTCAACGTGAGAGGGTATGACGAGCTCCAGTACTAACGAAAAAGCAGATTACACGTCAGAGCCACTTCTGTTTGAGAACTCAGGAATAATGAGTATGTTCCTGGCACAGGTCAGCTACGGTTCCTGTGTTTAAAAAGGGAAGGAGGTAGAATTGGGGGATTAGAGACCAAACCTTTTAACCTCAAGTTCCATTAAATATTGGAACAAATAATCACATTGAAAATACTCAGGAGATGAGTAACCACCAGTATGTTTTTATTAAGAATAAATAGTGTCCATGCAACCTCCTGTCTTTCTTCACAGGAGAAGCAATGGAGGTGAGATACAGCTCATCTAACTGTAGACATGTCTACATGCAGATTTTTAGTTGCTTAGAGTCCTTAACTCCTTTTAGAGTTAGCGCAGAGGAAAAGGCACACTTACAGGGCAATTCTGCTCATACACTGGTAGATGCCCTAAACCTGGCCAGATGAATTGTGACCACCTGTCTTTCTCCAGGAAAGGGAGTCTAGACAAGTACCTTAGATGCAGACCTCTACCCTCCCGACATGTAAAGTCAGGTGAGACAAATCCCCTGACTACTAGGATGTCGGATCAAGCTCTGGGTTTCAGAAACTTGGCACTGCTATTTTTCATAAACTGAGCAGAGGAACATAGTCTAGGCAAATCTTAAGCCAGGTGTGATACTGCGTGGGAAGTCATATCCAGAGAATAGCTATCGGGGTCTTCTAAAACAGATAAATGTTTCAAGTGAGCTCTACAGGAATCTGTTCAGGATGGAGCTCTACTCTGTATATTTGTTAGTGGGTCTGCTGATGCAACTCAGATTGTACCTGCTCAGTTTTCAGAGGACTTCAAGCTAAAAGTGACTGTGATTACTTTGAAGGCAGGAACAGATTTCACAATGACCTGGCTACACTGGAGAAGTGAACTGACAAAACGGTGTAATTCAATAACGTCAAGGGGAAGGAACTACATTTAACTATATAAATACATGGCAGGGGACAAAAAGCAAGGTAGGAATAGCTAGGGGTTATTCTGGATCACAAAATGAACATCAGTCAACAATATCATGCTGTTGCGAAAAAGGCAAATGTCCTACATGGATGTACAAACAAGAGAGAACCCTGCTGACCACATGACATAATCATTTTGCCCTAGTTAGTACTGGCAGGGCACAGCTGGAGAAGAGTCCGGAGGGGGTCCCACACTGCACAGCAACGCACAACACCTCAAGAGATTCTACAGAAGAGCAAAAAGTAATAAACAAGGAAAAACATCAACAAAACCCCCCAAACAAAAAAGAAAACCAACCCTGCTGCAAGAAGGAAGTAAATAATCTCTTTTCATGTCCAAGATGGATGAGAAATAATTGACTTAAATTGCAGCAAAGGAGACTGACATTAGGTACTAGAAAATAAACTTTATGTTTAACAGTAAGGGCAGTAAAGCATGGGAATGGGTCTTCCGAGGAGGCTGCAGAGTTTCTGTCAATGAAGTGTTTAGAACAAGAACTGTTTTGGCATAGCTGATGCTACCTTAGGGTTTGCTGAACTAGGATTAGTTCAGCTGAATTAGGTGAACTCTCATAGTCCCTTCTACCAAGCAGTAATCACGAAAGCTAAGAAAAAGCTCACATCAGGGACAATTTTTCTGCTTATTCCCCTACTTCTACTCACTTTTTGAACATGCTGAGTTCAATTTTCAGGTGAAATTTCAAGTGGGAGGGACAGATATGTCACTCAGCTGTATTTGGAGTGATTCCTCTCTAGGACTGACTGAGAACTGAACTGGCCCCAATATAAGCCACAGGAATAATCTAACTGTGCCAACTGAAATGCTCCTGAAGATAATTTCCGAGTAAAAATGCTCCTTCGAGGTTGATTAGTCTAGAAATTCAAAGTAGCAATAAAATTATTATGTGATTTCTATAAAACAAAAACAAAATAACATATACATTTAAAGTAAACTCAGTTCTGTTTGTATCTGACAGTTCTTTATAGAGAGGAACCAGCTGAATAGTTCTACATGATTTTCACTTACTTCTGCAAATTTTTGCTCGTGTAAATACTGCATAGATCAAAATACGAGCTGTTGCATTGATATCCAAAGATACTGAATAAAGCCTCTAATGAGAGAAAACCAAACTTGATATTTAATGCACCACCAGCACAGAATGTTTCCCACTTTCCAAAGAAATTAATTTTACAAACCAGAGCAAACAAGAAAATTGCACTGCAATTACAAAATCAGTTTCTTCCGTGAGCCTTTATTATTTGATGCATCATTAATCATGCTACTTTTCACTTTGATAGAGTTATAAAGTTATCTGCATTCATTCAAAGGAGCTACTTGCTAATGATCCATCATTAACGATTCTCTGTTCTTTCCTTGTGTAAATTCTACTTGGCTTCTGTGTCAATTAGGAGGGTGTAAAGCTTGCCAGTCAGGCTTCAGCAATCCCACGCTCCGCCTGAACAATGCTCCCAGAGAGCAACCAGCAGAATGCTATGCAAATGCTAATTAAATACAACTGCCTTATGAGGAAACCATCCCTTAAGGCACAGAGAGGTGAACTGCTTTAATTAAGGTCAGAAGCATTTGCATATGGGTGAGTTACCCGGTGCTTCCCAGATGGAAACAGGCCTTTGCTGGGGGTAGTGGCAGGGTTACTGGCTGGAAGGTCGAATACAGTAGGCGATGGGGTATGCTGGCCCTCTCTGCTCTAAGCAGGACACTGTCCTCAGCCATGAAGTTAAATGAATGGAGATGGTCACCTGAAGAAAGCAATGAAGGAAAGAGCAGTAGCTGTGATTTACGTTTGTCCTGTTAAATTAGACTTTAGGAGTCTCTTTTCTTTTATTTGTTATTGCCAATAAGCAAAACCCAAGGGGCTCTTTCACTACTCTCTAAAATTCTCTAGCTGTAAAATTCTATGTTAATCTTTTTTAATTATTTTGACTTCTTTGGCACATTGCTAAAATACATGCTCTGCACAACACAATGTTCAAGGCTTAATAGTGCAAAAATCAGTCAAACTTTGTACCACTTCCAACTATGACAGCAACTGTACCAAGCTATCCCCAAGACTTCCCCAGTACATGAACTCAACATCACCATTATAAATTCTATTTCTTTGGTACCTATCTGCTATAATATTTCTAGGCATCAAACAAAGCCATTAAGTTAAGACACACTAAACAGATTAAAGCAGAAGATAAAATGAGATAAAACCACTGAAATAGGACCATGCCACAGAAAGGACCCTCAAGAATGAAAATGCATTCACCCTAAACAGGTGAAATATGTGGCACTCCTTGGAATGTGTCACAGGGCATTTCTGAAATTTAGGGCTGCAGAAGCAAAGTTAATACCTGTATCGGTTCCACCTGGAGCTGCAAAAGCTCCAGTCATCTGTCCTAGTACAAAGTCTGCTGCAGCACAGGCAGGGACTAAAATCGTGACTGATACAAAGGTGTATCAATGTAATAAGCAGGACACCACAATATACTAGGAGCTCAGTTTTATTCAACAGTACTAGAAATTAAAGTTGAATTAGAATGATATTAAAAGAGCAAAGCACAGTAAATAAGAGTGGATAAATGTAATAACCTTTCCTTTGTCTTAACAAATAGCAATCCAGCATCACC